CCCGGAACTTAATTTTTTTTAATAGCAAAGTACCCCTTGTGACATATCAAATGAAAGAGCATGAAAAAAGAAAATTTTTGGTGAAAAAAAAATTTAAAATCGGCTCATGAATTTGTGAGATAATCACCCCCCTTTTCCCCTACCCATAACTTGTTTTTTAATAGCAAGGTACCCGCCCTTGTGAACTATCAAATGAAAAATAAATTTCGCCAAAATTTTTCTTTTTTCATGCTCTTTCATTTGATATGTCACAAGGGGTACTTTGCTATTAAAAAAAATTAAGTTCCGGGGGGGTGAGGGGGGAAATATCTCACAAATTTATGAACAGATTTTCAATTTTTTTTCATCAAAAATTTTCTTTTTTCATGCTCTTTTATTTGATATGTCACAAGGGGTACCTTGCTATTTAAAAAAAAATTAAGTTGGGGGCAGGGGGGGAAAGGGGGGGAATGTGAATGTAACGTTGAATTCAAAACAATTGGTCCCCCTACGTCAATAGATGATTCCCACAAACTGCATATTTCTATCTATTGCGGTTTTTACATAAATAAAGATGCAAGTTTTTAAAAAAACACCCTGTATATAAACCTTCGCAAATACAGTATCTGACAGTAAGCCAAAATAAATGCTTCGCAATTAAATGTCACCCGGATCGTGTTGGTCCATAAGTCCAATGATTAAACTAAAAAATGTATTATAGATCCATGAAGCGTAGCCCTAAAGTAGGCCTATAATTGAAAGTTACTTTCCACATCGGTTAACTTAAACGTATTTAAAGTACTACCTCAACCTCACCATTTAACTCTTTATTCCGGTTGACATTTTCAGTATCAAAGGTGCTCTTGTCCATTCCGTGAAACACTGAGAAATAAGGACATTAATGCGTTACCAACATACAACAAAACAACACAATACAACAATCCAACAAAGGCCACGAACTATTGATACATAAACAATATAAAGGCGTAAACAATTCATGATGGTTTGCCCAACAAATGTTTTACTCAAATAGGTTATCATTTTCTTAGCATACCGGGTAAGCTAAGATTTGGAATCCAGACAGAAAAAGCAAAACTATACAGAGTTAAGACATCACTTAAATTGAATACGGACGGCTCTAATAAATAAGGTGCAACACCAACGATATCAAATTTGTAAACTACCGGTTCTAAGGAAAAGAACCAGTACCTACGTAAGAACCTACCTAAGAACTATAGTAAATTGGACCAATTAAATACATTAATATCTAGTCCCGAGGTTATTGATCTCTTGCTTTTGGATTTTCTCGTAAAAAGTTATAGCGTAAACTTATCGGTGTCAGTTTGAAAAAAAGCAACCTTACCCAAACAACTTTTTGTTATTTAATAGATTACGCATTCTCTAAACAATGATTAGTATATCTATTAACATTAGAAGGAAATGTGACGAAAATCACACAATGTTGGGGTTTTGGTCATTTGTAATTTTATTTTTTAAGTAGATAGGCCATGTATTCTATGGAAAAGTACCGGTATCAAGGATCGTCGTCAAAAAGGTTGTTATGAATAAATATGTAGGCTTACGTACCCAAGATATGAGCTATGGGCCTATTGGCTGTATGGTCCAGCGATTGCATCACACGGTGAGTAGAAACAGAAAGTGACACATTGGAAAAGCGAGTTTAGCACTTCCTCTGTTAAACCTCTGTTACAATCACCCACTGCAGTTGTGATTTTTTACTTTACACTTTACACAACCGCCATTGAAGCGCCGTCAATGAGTGGAAACCTTTTTTGTAAGCTATTGGCGACGATCATTTCAGTGTCACAGCCCTATACAACACTGATTCAAGGTCTTCTTCTTTCTGGTTGTCAACACTCAAGAAACATTTTATACTCAAAGAATTTCTGGTTCCGATTTGGACGATGTCTAGTTATTTAATTTCATTTACGGTTACACTATTAGACTATATTATTGCACTTGCGATTAATTAAATCCGTTATGTAAGAAAAACGTTTTTAATCTCACTTGGTTGGGATTTGCTTTCAAAACGTGATTCGAAATAGTTGCGGTATTTGTAAACAACATTTGTAAACATGTCATTGACAGCTAGAAAAAATAATCTTGATCCGAACAGCTGTTCGTTATTTCATAGACGATTATGTGATAAAAATTGAACGGAAATTTGACAAAAATCGCACAAAACTGCATTTTTGAACGTCCGTAATTTTATTTACAAAGTAGTGAGGCTATATTTAAATCACTAAAGACACTCTCGCCAATCCAGTGAATACATTAAAATGACTTGGATATTGATATGTACTCTGGTTTTCACGGAGAAGATTGCGTAAAATGCCATCTTGAGTGTTACAGACAAATGGACAGACAGACAGACAGACAGACAGACAGACAGACAGAAATTGAGATAAGACTCGTTTCTGCTTCTTTAATGTATAAAACGTAAAAATAACCTAAACGTATATAATTCTGAGCAATGTACAGACAAAACTCTAATTTTATTTATATATATAGATATAGAAGAGTTTACTACATTATTTAAGATTTCTCTCATCATTGCTTAACTAACTAATTAAAGTAATACTAACTGTTATTATTATTTAAAAATAGGTAGTAGGGTTTGTCAATTTGTAAATATTTTGAAAAACAACACAAAAAGTGAATAAAAAATTTACAAATGCTTGTAAATACATTTAAAGCACAAAAGTAACTATTTTTGTACTAGTTGAACTAGTTATAGTTCTTTTGTAAAATATTGGTATTTAACAATATTTTACGTAAACCCAATAAAGCGGGATTCTTTTGCTCTAGACTCTTTTTAAAAATAAATAACCCTTCTAAATCTCAAGTGTAAAGGTTTACGTCTAGTATTAACCTCGTTACCCAAAAGTGTGTCAAAATAACTGTGCAATTGTATTTTTATTTTTAAATGTATTTTATGGATAGTTCATTTATTAAGGAAATATCTATTTCCAGTAACAGATTTTTACATTTATTTTTCATGCCATTTACACAAACCATTAACTTTTACACATTTTACACATACACTTGGCAATGTTGTTTGAATATTAATAAATAAGTAACTAGGTATAAAATAAATGTAGTTATGAGGTGGTTTTATTTATTCAACCGAATGCCAAACCGCATGTTTGCCAGCTACTCTGTGGTAATACCTTTTACCACTAAATGCATTGCGGCCATAACTAATTGTGGGAATATTAACAACTGTTTTTCACCGGTAGTATTAATAAAATAACATTCATTACTCGTGGATTTTGGTTACTTTGTATATTTATGGCGCAATTCTAATTTTAACCGATTTAAAATACCTTATCACTTAGGTAATGTTTAGGATTATAAAATAAGATATATAGGGTGATTGATATAAGTGTGCCAGGTGTTTTATTCGAAAACTATAAGAGATATAAAAAAAAGTTGTATAGTAAGTGCCTTGGATTTTTTATTAAAAAAATTGTAGTCAAGTCAAAAAAATATTTTACCCGCCATTTTTCCAATATGGTCGCCAATTTTGATTTTTCTTATGGAACACCCTGTATTTTATTATGTATTCCGGTAGAAAATGTAATTTCAAGACTATTTTATTCTTGTGTTTTTTTTCATAAACCTAACCATTTCAAAGATAATAATGGTTAAAGTTACGAAATTTCGAATGGTTTTCGAATAAAACAGCTGGCAAGCTTGCTTAGGCCTTTATCGAAACTTTTTCATGGCGAAATTTCAAAACTTTAACCATCATTATCTTTGAAATGGTTAGGCTTATGAATAAAAGCACAAGAATAAAATTGTCTTAAAATTACATTTTCTACCGGAATACATAATAAAACACAGGATGTTCCATAAGAAAAATCTAAGCTGGCAGCCATATTAGAAAAATGGCAACTAAAATATTTTTCCGACTTGACTACAATTTTTTAAATAAAAAATCCAAGGCACTTACCATTTAACTTTTTTTGATATCTCTTATAGCTTTCGAATAAAACAGCTGGCTCACTTATATCAATCACCCTGTATTTTTTATATTTGTGATGGGGAGAGTATCGCCATAACATATCTATTCAAAACATATACATATATTACATATGTTTAAAAAAATTGTTATAGACAAACTCCTTTAAGCATTGTATTATAAAATCTTTCAAGGACTTATAAACCGTGAATAACATCCCTATTTAAACAGATGTATTTGTCAATCACAGGACTTGATAAAGGATTTTCATACTTTGGAGCAAAATATCTACGTTAAATAGTACAAATCTAGGGTTTGGAAGACTCGCAAAACATTTGTTGCTAATGGCGCAAAACATAGGCCTAAATAAAACACAAATAAGTCAGGATCCAATTTTCTGTGGTAGAAATGTTAAAATAACTACCCCAATAATCCTATTATTTTACTCTTTAGCAAAAATGTTAATGTTTTTACTCCTGTGATACGCTGCAAAAAAACAACCGTTTAAAATATGTAGTATGTTGCTGCCACTTCAATATATTGTATTAATTTTTCAACTGTAAACGTCTGATCAAATAATATATTAAATATTATATTTGCCTATTTTTACATTCAAAGATTTAAGATATTCAAATTTGTTTAACGTCCAAAAAGACTCAGTGACAGATCACCACTATCAGGGAACCCACCTGAGCTGCCTATTTATCTGCTATGTTTGGACTTCAGCTTGTCTGAGAAAGATTCATCCTTATCATCCTTTAACTCTTTAGAGAAAAATCCCACTATTTTTAAGATCACTGTAAAATTCTCTTTTGTATGGCCAACGAAACTTAGGATATTCAGAAAATTTTACAAGAAAACCATAAATATTGCTTGACATTTATTTTAAAATTTTCCTTTTATTATCATGTTGCCAAATCTTAAGTATATCTCTATGTTGTCCTTTAGTGTAAGTTTTTCGCTGTTTATTGGAAACTAATATTATATTTTATTTTAATAAAACTATGCTAGTTTGTTGTGTATTCAATATACTCACCCAAATTAGGAATGCAGAGCAGGAAAAAGAAGGCGAAATAAAGAGGTCTTGTACACGTCATACCTAACCTACGTCACTAACACATTCTGGCACTATGGCACTTTGGCACTGTGTACATTGGCACTTGGCGCACTGGCACGCAACAATGTGGCACTTTGGCCCACCGACACTGGCCTCTCTACACTGGATATTTTAACACTTTCATCTTTGTCACAAAGTACACTAGCAACATTTTAGTCACTTGATCCTCTTGCATGGGTTAGAGCTGATCTCAGACTTCTTATCAGCATCTGTAACAAAAACGAGGTTTAAGCAATCCATTATATTATTTAAGTGATACAATCAAATTTTATGTAAACGGTTAAGGCCATTTACCAAATAAAAATTTGCCAAAAAGTATTGATATGAACGAAATCCCTAAGGGATCTGCCCCACAGGCTGATTTCTAAAGGGCTACGCCTTGCATGTTTTGGAAGTTAACGTTATTCGATTAATTTAGTGAACAACAGCTGGTCAATGCATTTGACAATATAATTTGTTTGTTTACAATTATGTTTACTCATTTTATTATTTACTTTTTATATGTTTTTAAAAGAGGTGCGGTGAATGGACAGTGAAGCTATTTATAGCTGTTTGATACAAGTGAGTGATTAAAGGTGTTAAAACACGATGAATATGAGATTAGCAAACCATGTATGTTGTTCGTTCTAAGAGGTTGTAACCTATGACAACTTATTAAAGGGTGATCTATTAAAGGGTGTTATCTTTAATAGGTCGCCAGTTCATTGAAAAGTATTAAAGTAAAGTTTTAAAGTATTAAAGACATCGTGAAAGAGAGCGGTGAGTTAAAGTACAACCGTGCCCACCTCGGCCATCTTGCTTTTAACATCCTTTCAGGTGACAATTTCTCGATCTTTGACTTTAAATGAAATAAAAAGTCAAACTTGATTAAAATTAATTTAATGGTGGCTTCTGTACACCCGTGAATTCGCGGGTAGAACCTCTTGTAAATAAAGAAATAAGCATAAATAAAGAACTGTCTTGTTAATTTGCATAGGATGTAAGCTTTTTAATTGAGATACCTCAATTACCATATACTACACTTATTTTCACTTATTTTCACATATATTAATTTAGTTTCTCCAAAACTCAATATAATGCTCTTGAGCATTACTGCATGAATGCTCAAAATAACATAACAGTACCTAGCTGAAACCACTTTCCAGATAATAGTTAGAAATTTAATTAAGACCTTTTTTATAATTATATTACCATAGGGCTGGACAGGTCATGAATTTTACGACTCATAGGAATAAATCGTACGTTTTAAAGCGACATTTAAATTGAAAGATTTTATCTATTTAACTTTTCTAATAAGCTAAAATGACCAATTCATTTTAACGGAAGGATTGTAAAAACCTAACATAATTTTAATTTTTCTAATTAAATCTGTAAAAAACTGCCTAAAATTTCTTAAATCCAAATTTTTATTTTTCCTTCCAAAATTTAGTTTAGTTTTTTTATTTTAATATCTTTAACTTTTGTCACAGTAAATAAACCTTCTTTAACATTACATTAAACAAAGGTAAAACATAATATATATAAAAACTGTAAATATTAGTTTTATGAATCCCTGATTCATTCAGCATAAAAATCTGGTTGTAATTGATTGACTAGCCTAGATACTGTAAAACAGTTATCAATATGGCTATAGTAATCCATTACATTTAATTTCCCATACCAGATGATAAGTAAACTTCTTGTTAAGCAACACATTTTTTTAACGTGCTATTGTATACCCCCACAAAAATAAGAATAATAGATTTGGTGAGTTGGGCTTGTAAAACCGTTGTAATTTACGCCAAGAAGGTTCACAAAAGAGGCTGAACAAGGATACTTTACAAGTCCAAAGGGAGGTTTAGAGGCGCCTTTGGCAGTAAATTAACTTCCTTGGAACACAAATGTTAACAGTAACAACACACATAAAACACCTTAATTCTTTGGTAACCCAAAAAGTATTTTACTTATAAGATATGGCGTTTCCATTATCTAAACGTTTAGGACTTTTTAGCCAACACTTTTTTACAGGAAATTTATCGTTGCATTAAAAAATTCCCAATCGTGTAGGAATTTATTTGATTTGTTAAGGTAGATAATCATGTTATTTTTTTAACCAAATCTAAAAAAACTCTTGCGTCTATACTCGTGACATGTTGAAAATAGAAATAAACTGTTTTAAGGGAAATCAGCTCAAAACCCTCAAATGTTTATCAGGTTTACTTAATCATTTTAGAATCTTATTTTTTGTTCATATCCATACTGTAAATCCACAGTTTATCTCATTGTTGTAACTAAAACATTATAACAGTGTATAAAACTTCTCTCCGTTGTGGCTGAATAATTAAAAAAAAAGTATTAAGATACGAAACACACTGTTTATCTAATAAAGTTCAAAGTTTCCAGCATAATTTGGATAAAACATTAACAAGAGTAGTTAAGAAACGCCCAAACTTGTAAAAGTAGTCGTTTTAGACAGGTGATCTCGTAGGAGGCGCCTCATTTCCCGCGTTTCCGCCAACCTCTCAACACAGACCTCTAAACTTCACTTGAACTTCTCGGCTTCCTTCCGCCGAAATTCTCAAGTTTGCAAAACTCGTTGTGAATTGTTTAGAATCTTGGTAAACAATGAGTGACATACATTATTCAAGTTTGTACCAAATATTTTTTAGTATAAATTCAAAGGCTGTACAAATGCTTTGTTACGTACTGTATAGATAAGTTTGTTTGAAAGAGAAAATTTGTAGTTGTCGATCGACCATTTTAGACTTTAGTGAGTAGCGCTTTGAACTGTGAAAGCATCGATGTCATAAGTTTGTATCCCTGTTCCTTTAGGTATTGGCCCTACTCGCTCGCCTCTCTACGTTTACTAGATGAGCGGGTTCACTTTGAGGAACATAGGGCAGGCAAATACAAGACTGAAAGGGGCTGATTATTATCTATTAGAATTGGGATCGATTAACCGAATGGAAAGCGTTATCAATTAGATAGGGAATTATGGCTCTAGGAATCGTGGATGTCTCACGAATTTACACTACAATTGAAACAAAAAATGTGTTACATTATGATTCATAGTTAATAAACTTCAAAATTGGTTATGAACAAATTTTGAAAGCAGTAGTAATATCAATGCAATACCTACAATTTCAAACTAGTCCACGACTTACTATTATTGGAAATGGCATGTAATTTATTAACTGAGAGATCTAGAATTAATGGTTGTAGTTTCTCAGAATATATCTCAAAATTTAAAATATAAAATGTTTTATTTAACGGATAAAAAAACATAAAAATAAAACCTTTAAAGAAACAATATCAGCAAAATAATCCACAGAAATTAAATTTATTATACCACAAATTGTTGCAAACTGAATCAATTTTTTCCTAGATAAACAACAATGTTGTGAATATCAGATGATTGTGCATGAGTAAAACCGTTTTACTTGAATTCTCCAAGTGAGATATAAAAGGATGGCTTTCAAATCGGAGACAGGTGTTCTCACAATCGGAAGCCATTACTATCAACTTCCGATATCACTTTACGAAAAATGTTACGCTTCAACTCCTTGTTTCACTTCGTTTTGTGTTCGATCGATTTTTGAAGCTACACCTAACAGACTTTGGTTTACTATAATATAATTTAATATTATATAAGAGAATATTTTTGATCGCATCTACTGCAAAATTTGTTTGGCGTCGTCTTGATGCTTGCTAGTATTCAGACTAAAATGTTGCTATTATTTCTACAACTAGTTGAATTACCTTAGTTTGATACTACCATGAATTACCTTTTTATTTTAAGTTGAAAATTATAATATTATCCATTAATATTACATTTTCAATAAATTAAATATGAATAGCTGATCAATCAATCACTACTAGTAATACATTTAATCTTTTAAATTTAAACACATTTAGTATTAGATGTTTAAAGAAAAAAAAAACATTACAAATAAAAGCTTGTACTTTGGCTGAGAGATCAAACCAATTACATTAGTCTGAGTGACCTGATGACATTTAAAGTGGTCTTTTGGTTGATTAGTGTAATTGGTAATTACAGTTTAACATTTTTGGAATGTTTACTTACCATTGCACTGTGCATCTCATTATCTGTACCCTGCTACTTTTAGGGCAAATATAAAAAAATTAAGATTGTCTGCATTTCATGCTAAACGTTAAAGAATTACTTGTTCTTAGAATAAAAGAATATGTAGGGTTATCAGAGTTAATCAGGTAAAGTTCCATCTTATATATTTGAATTATTCTCATAGTTTTCTTTTCCTAAGACGCTAGGCACGAGCCTGGGATTGTTTCTCACATTACTTCAGACTAGGGGGTTGAGGCATTATCACTTAAATAAAATCCATTGGTGCTTTGGTGGGATTTGAACCCGGGATTTGAAGTCCCGCGCTCTAACTACTAGACCAGCTCGTTCCCCATTCTCATAGTAGTTCTGTGCAATAGCATAAGTCATAAGTGTAATAAATACAATTATTCCTCACTTTATTCTTTTAATTACTTTATTAGTATGTATTCCTTGAAATGTTGGTATCGCCTTAGTATAAAAAAGGAATTACAACGACAAAATACCTTGAATTAAATTTTCAGTTTTGTTTGATAAAATATGATGTCTCAATGAAGTGGACAAAATAATCAATTGAATCTTGCACCTATATTATTATTTACCTATTATTATAAATATTTTATGAGATAAATACTGTTTTTAGGGTTTTATCCCAAATTAAATGTATTTTGTATAGTGAGGTAGTATTTATTTAAGTTATAACACAAGTCTTTATCATTTAAACACTCAGTTATTCATTGTTGTTGTTGATTTTGTTGTTAGGTTTGAACATTTGCAGTTTCTTATTTAGCACTTGTATTGCTAATTATTGTACGTTACGCGTTCAAAAGTGTGTTCACCAGTCTTATGCTATTGTGTTTATTATTATTGTTAGCTAGTAGGTTATTTATGTTTTCGAAATTGTTATTTTCTATTATTTCTCAAATTGGCCTTCATGCGCTATTAATTAGATCAGTGGTTTCTGTTGTGGTGATACTATTGAGTATAATCTATGGGTTGATTTAATTTTCTTATTTCATTTATTAGCTTACGTCTGATAGTTTGAATTTAACAATTGTTCTGTAATTGTTGATAGGCCTCCGGTAACATCAAATTAATTTAAAATCAGTATGCAGAAGAGATTGTTACAATCGAGCGGTTGAGATTTGT